GACAGCATCATTGACCGTGTTTCTTAGGCTGTTGGCAGATTTTTTAGAATATACAATATAATATTTGATAATAATGTAAAATTATTACTTCAAGTCAATTATACCATTTCTCTCCTTGCTATGCTTTCTAGGTGTGCTTGTAGGTTAACTCTCTCACCTTTGCTAATTTTAATGTTTTTATAATGCGTTTTGCTAGTGATTTAGCCATGATAAGAACAGTGCCAGTGCGGGAGCCATTTTGTTATTTTCAAATTTCATTCAATCTGGCCGCCATATTGTGCCCAGGGCACCTCCTTTTATACTGTGATCGACGGAAGCGATTTCATGACGTTGCGTGAATGGTTTTATAGTGCACCTTCTTGTTTAAGAGTGAAACAACACAGGTGCCATTCCTCTATGAATATCATTATTTACGTCATTTTTGTGACGTAGCTACATTTTTCAAATTCCACGCAGCTGCTTCCACTTCCGTCCCAAACTGAACTGGGATATAGTATAGCTAGGTCCAACAAAGATAGGCTTGGCAATGTCATCTACAGTACTAGCCTGTCCTGTTAGAACTGTGCAGCAAACAGCACAAGGACAAAGATACGCTATTGCAAGCCAAAAGATATATTGGAAGTAAGGAGTGCATCCGTACCCAAAAATTGAGGGTAGACACAAATTGGTGCATAACTGAACCAATGGAATACTTGGTGTAGGTGGAAGCTACAACTTAATGAAGCTCCATCTATCATGTCTCTCAGTCGAGAAAAGCTTGCAAAATCTATGGAAATGTTTGTCCTGGAAGTAAGAAAAAAAGACGGCACTGAATATGGTGTGTGGTATAATGCATCACTTGAGAATTATTGGTGACATCAATATTGATTTTTTCAAGAACAATGAGTTCGTAGACTTTTGTTCCACTCTTGATGGTGAAATGAAGCAACTTACAGCTAAAGGACTTGGTAAAGAAAGCTGAATGCATCAAAGTAGATGAAGAAGAGACTCTGTGGAGTAAAGGCATTCTCGGAGACCACTCACCCAGCTCCCTTCTTAATACTATTTTTATATGAATGGTCTTTACTTGCACTGAGAAGTGGAAAAGAGCATAGGCTATTACAATACTCACCTTACCAGATTAAAATTATCAAGAAAGAAGGACAAATACCTTACCTTGAGTACTCTGAGGAAATTTCAAAAAATAATCCTGGAGGTTTAAAGGGAAGAAAATAACTTCAAAAGTTGTGAAACATTATGCAAACTTAGAAAAACCACAGAGTTGTTTTGTGTGAATCTTTAAAAAGTACAATTATTTAATTATGTCCAAAAAACCACCCATCAGATGCATTTTATTTAAAGCTGATGAGTTAAGCCTGGTTCACAATACCGTAGGTCCATAGATACTACATACACACATGGATATGAAACAGGATGCGCTCGATCGATCCTTGGCACCGGAAGTGATGTATTGTGACGTTTACACTACACGTGTATAAGCATAGCACAAGCAAAATAGTGAAGAAATCCAGTTCAATTACTTACTAAAGCTCAGGTCTACGACTATATAAGAGTTGCAATCGATATTCTAGTTCTAAAAAGTGAAGATCTACTATTACAAGAAAGAATGCACTGTGCTAAGTACTAAAAAAATTATTATTTAAATTATTATCATTATAACTGTTGATGATTATTCTATTCTTCAGTGACCCAATAGATTGATTATTATTATGAGTCCTTCAACAAATTTTAACTATAAAAATAGCAATAAAAACATTGACAACAATTATTATAAGCCACACTTACTGTATCACCATACAG